AACTACACCCATGATATATCAACTACACCTAGGCTATATCAACTACACCCACGCTATATCAACTACACCCATGCTATATCAACTACACCTAGGCTATATCAACAACACCCATGATATATCAACTACACCTAGGCTATATCAACTATACCCACGCTATATCAACTACACCTACGCTATATCAACTAAACCTAGGCTACATCAACTACACCTAGGCTACATCAACTATACCTATGCTATATCAACTACACCCACGCTATATCAACTACACTCACGCTATATCAACTACACCTAGCTTACATCAATTACACCCACGCTATATCAACTACACTCACGCTATATCAACTACACCTATCCTATATCAACTACACCTAGGCTATATCAACTACACCCACGCTATATCAACTATACCTAGGCTATATGAAATATACCTAGACTATATCAACTACACCTACGCTATATCAACTATATCTCGACTATATTAACTATACCTAGGCTATATGAACTATACCTTGACTATATCAACTACACCTACGCTATATCAACTGCACCCACGCTATATCAACTATTCCTACGTTGTATCAACTACACCAAAGCTATATCAACTATACCAACGCTATATCAACAATATTTAGACTATGACAACTATACCTAGGCTATATGAACTATACCCACGCCATATCAACTACACCTACGCTTTATCAACTATACCTAGGCTATATCAACTACACCCATGCTATATCAACTACACCTAGGCTATATCAACTATACCTAGGCTATATCAACTACACCCATGCTATATCAACTACACCCATGATATATCAACTACACCTAGGCTATATCAACTACACCCACGCTATATCAACTACACCCATGCTATATCAACTACACCTAGGCTATATCAACAACACCCATGATATATCAACTACACCTAGGCTATATCAACTATACCCACGCTATATCAACTACACCTACGCTATATCAACTAAACCTAGGCTACATCAACTACACCTAGGCTACATCAACTATACCTATGCTATATCAACTACACCCACGCTATATCAACTACACTCACGCTATATCAACTACACCTAGCTTACATCAATTACACCCACGCTATATCAACTACACTCACGCTATATCAACCACACCTATCCTATATCAACTACACCTAGGCTATATCAACTACACCCACGCTATATCAACTACACCAAAGCTATATCAACTACACCCACGCTATATCAACTACACCTAGCCTACATCAATTACACCCACGCTATATCAACTACACTCACGCTATATCAACTACACCTACGTTATATCAACTACACCTACGCTATATCAACTACACCCATGCTATATCAACTACACCTAGGCTATACCAACAACACCGATGATATATCAACTACACCTAGGCTATATCAACTATACCTAGGCTATATCAACTACACCCATGCTATATCAACTACACCCATGATATATCAACTACACCTAGGCTATATCAACTTCACCTAGGTTATATCAACTACACCCACGCTATATCAACTACACCCATGCTATATCAACTACACCTAGGCTATATCAACAACACCCATGATATATCAACTACACCTAGGCTATATCAACCATACCCACGCTATATCAACTACACCTACGCTATATCAACTAAACCTAGGCTACATCAACTACACCTAGGCTACATCAACTATACCTATGCTATATCAACTACACCCACGCTATATGAACTACACTCACGCTATATCAACTACACCTAGCCTACATCAATTACACCCACGCTATATCAACTACACTCACGCTATATCAGCTACACCTACGATATCAACTACACCTACGCTATATCAACTACACCCATGCTATATCAACTACACCTAGGCTATACCAACAACACCGATGATATATCAACTACACCTAGGCTATATCAACTATACCCACGCTATATCAACTACACCCACGCTATATCAACTATACCTAGACTATATCAACTATACCTAGGCTATATGAACTATACCTAGACTATATCAACTAAACCCACGCTATATCAACTATAACCTAGACTATATCAACTATGCCTAGGCTATATGAACTATACCTAGACTATATCAACTATACCTAGGCTATATGAACTGTACCTAGACTATATTAACTACACCCACGATATATCAACTATAACCTAGACTATATCAACTATTCCTAGGGTATATCAACTATACCTAGACTATATCAACTATACCTACGCTATATCAACTACACCCACGCAATATCAACTATACCTACGTTGTATCAACTACGCGTAGGCTACATCAACTACACCCACGGTATATCAACTACACTCACGATATATCAACTACACCCATGCTATATCAACTACACCTAGGCTACATCAACTACACCCACGCTATATCAGCTACACCCACGCTACATCAACTACACACACGCTATATCAACTACATCTAGACTATAACAACTATACCTAGGCTATATGAACTATACCCACGACATATCAACTACACCTACGCTGTGTCAACTACACCCACGCTATATCAACTACACCCACGCTATATCAACTACACCTTCGCTGCATCAACTACACCCACGCTAAATCAACTACACCCATGCTATATCAACTATACCCACGCTATATCAACTACACCTACCCTATATCAACTACACTCACACTATATCAACTACACCCACGCCATATCAACTACACCCACGCTATATCAACTATACCTAGGCTATATCATCTATACCTAGTCTCTATCAACTACACCTACGCTATATCAACTACACCCACGCCATATCAACTATACCTACGTTGTATCAACTACACCCACGCTATATCAACTATACCTAGACTATATGAACTATACCTAGGTTATATGAACTATACCCACGCTATATCAACTACACGCACGCTATATCAACTACACCTAGGCTATATCAACTACACCTACGCTATATCAACTATACCTAGACTATATCAACTATACCTAGGCTATATGAACTATACCCACGCTACATCAACTACACCTACGCTATATCAACTATACCCACTCTTTATCAACTATACCTAGGCTATATCAACTACAGCTAGGCTATATCAACTACACTTACGCTATATCAACTACATCTAGGCTACATCAACTACACTAATGCTATATCAACTACACCTATGCCATATCAACTACGCCTAGGCTACATCAACTACACCCACGGTATATCAACTGCACCTAGGCTATATCAACTACACCCACGCTATATCAACTACACCTAGGCTACATCAATTACACCCACGCTATATCAGCTACACCCACGCTACATCAACTACACCCACGCTATATCAACTATACCTAGACTATATCAACTATACCTAGGCTATATGAACTATACCCACGCTACATCAACTACACGCACGCTATATCAACTACACCCACGCTATATCAACTACACCCATGCCGTATCAACTACACCTAGGCTATATCAACTACATCCAGCTATATCAACTACACCTAGGCTATATCAACTACACCTAGGCTATATCAACTACACCCATGATATATCAACTACACCTAGGCTACATCAATTACACCCACGCTATATCAACTACACTCACGCTATATCAGCTACACCTACGCTATATCAACTACACCTACGCTAAATAAACTACACCCACGCTATATCAACTACACTCACGCTATATCAACCACACCTAGGCTATATCAACTACACCTAAGCTATATCAACTACACCCACGCTATATCAAATACACTCACGCTACATCAACTACACCCACGCTAAATAAACTACATCCAAGCTATATCAACTACACCCACGCTATATCAACTACACCCACGCTATATCAACTACACCCACGCTATATCAACTACACCTAGGCTACATCAATTACACCCACGCTATGTCAACTACACTCACGCTATATCAGCTACACCTACGCTATATCAACTACACCTACGCTATATCAACTACACCCACGCTATATCAACTACACCCACGCTATATCAACTACACCCACGCTAAATAAACTACACCCAAGCTATATCAACTAGACCCACGCTATGTGAACTACACCTAGGCTATATCAACTACACCCATGCTATATCAACCACACCTATGCTATATCAACTCTACCTACACTATATATCAACTATACCTAGGCTACATCAACTACACCTACGCTATTTCAACTACACCCACGCCATATCAACTACACCTACGCTTTATCAACTACACCCACGCTATATCAACCACACCTACGCTATATCAACTACACCCGCGCTATAGCAACCACACCTGCGCTATGTCAACTATACCTAGACTATGTCAGCTACACCCACTCTATATCAGCTACATCTATTATTACCATCCTAATTTGCTAATTACAAGCTACACCTACGTAGTATCAGTAAAATTGTTCCATTTTAATGAAATACGAGGTTGCGAAATTGCATGCGGAGATGCACGAACACCGACGGGATTGATGCATGAACAAGGCAGAGAGATGGCGTCTTCAAAAACTGTGATAGACCTTCATGAGGATACTGCCTATCAAATAGTTTTTGTCATGTCATAGTGTCATATCGTTACTGTGGCAAGATGAGGTGAATGTTTGGAAAGGTTATTTAATGTGTTTCAACATAGAGAATGTTTTCGAGGATAATAGAAAAATCTCTTATAGCCGATGGTGTTTTCATCAACAAGTGACGTGGTTTGACAAAGGAAAAATTCTCTTCGGGAGCCCCTCTTCTAAAATTTCTTAGTCTGGTTAAGGAAGACATACTGATTAAAAGCAAAACATATATTATAAGTATGAACTTGAATTAGTAGAACAATGGGATTGTGTACTCCTGAAGGTAAATATTAACATGAAGATCTTTGATTCATGTCGTGTCCCATCACTCTCCTTGTACATCAGTATACGTATGAATGGAAGAATACAATTTGCGGATGTGGAAGAAACTTACATTGTATGTTGGAAGATGTGCCGTGTATTAGATAAACCAGGTTAGTCCTCAACTCGACCCAGGAGACAGAACCCATGTAAACTCTGGCTTGTGTTGCTAGCTGTAGATACACACGACGGATACCACAGCGTCAGTACTGCCTGTGTATAGAAATACGATTATTCACAAAGTGCCATACACCGACACATGTTACCCAATGAGTTAACTTGTGTTCTAACATCTCATCAGTTCGAGAATAGTCCGACCGCGGCGAGATGCCGTTCTTATGTAGCACAAATGTTAAACGGTTTACATTTGATGCTGAATGAATTGAGGTGTGAGAGAATGTAACATGTTTTGGAGAAGTGACACAATCCGATGCTGATGAGTTATTTTCTCACCAGATACATCAATTGGACACTTCATTTCTTATAGTCATATATATTCACTATATTCCATCGATTCCGACTTCAGTCACGGTCATTTATATTAACAAAGTTACACTTAAACTGCAGTAATGGTAATGTACTTAAACGCTTGCCCCATTTCGCACTTATACTGTAGTAATGGTCATGTACTTTAAAGCTTGCCCCATTTCGAACTTAAACTGTAGTAACGGTCATGTACTTTAACGCTTGCCCCAATTCGAACTTAAACTGCAGCAATGTCATGTACTTTAATGCTTGCCCCATTTCGCACTTAAACTGCAGTAATGGTCATGTACTTTAACGCTTGCCCCATTTCGCACTTAAACTGTAGTAACGGTCATGTACTCCAATGCCTGCCCCATTTCGCACTTAAACTGTAGTAATGGTCATGTACTTTAACGCTTGTCCCATTTCGAACTTAAACTGCAGCAACGTCATGTACTTTAAAGCTTGCCCCATTTCGCACTTAAACTGTAGTAACGGTCATGTACTTTAACGCTTGCCCCATTTCGAACTTAAACTGCAGCAATGTCATGTACTTTAATGCTTGCCCCATTTCGCACTTAAACTGCAGTAATGGTCATGTACTTTAACGCTTGCCCCATTTCGCACTAAAACTGTAGTAACGGTCATGTACTTTAACGCTTTCCCCATTTCGCACTTAAACTGTAGTAACGGTCATGTACTTTAACGCTTGCCCCATTTCGCATTTAAACTGTAGTAACGGTCATGTACTTTAATGCTTGCCCCATTTCACACTTAAAGTGCAGAAACGGTCATGTACTTTAACGCTTGTCCCATTTCGAACTTAAACTGTAGTCACGTCATGTACTTTAACGCTTGTCCAAATCACACTTAAACTGCAGTAACGTCATGTACTTTAACGCTTGCCCCATTTCGCACTTAAACTGTAGTAATGGTCATGTACTTTAACGCTTGCCCCATTTCGCACTTAAACTGTAGTAACGGTCATGTACTTTAATGCTTGCCCCATTTCGCACTTAAACTGTAGTAATGGTCATGTACTTTAACGCTTGCCCCATTTCGAACTTAAACTGCAGCAACGTCATGTACTTTAAAGCTTGCCCCATTTCGCACTTAAACTGTAGTAACGGTTATGTACTTTAACGCTTTCCCCATTTCTCACTTGAACTGTAGTAACGGTCATGTACTTGAAACGCTTGCCCCATTTCGAACTTAAAGTGCAGAAACGGTCATGTACTTTAACGCTTGTCCCATTTCGAACTTAAACTGTAGTCACGTCATGTACTTTAACGCTTGTCCAAATCACACTTAAACTGCAGTAACGTCATGTACTTTAATGCTTGCCCCATTTCGCACTTAAACTGTAGTAATGGTCATGTACTTTAACGCTTGCCCCATTTCGCACTTAAACTGTAGTAACGGTCATGTACTTTAATGCTTGCCCCATTTCGCACTTAAACTGTAGTAATGGTCATGTACTTTAACGCTTGCCCCATTTCGAACTTAAACTGCAGCAACGTCATGTACTTTAAAGCTTGCCCCATTTCGAACTTAAACTGTAGTAACGGTCATGTACTTTAACGCTTGCCCCATTTCGAACTTAAACTGCAGCAATGTCATGTACTTTAATGCTTGCCCCATTTCGCACTTAAACTGCAGTAATGGTCATGTACTTTAACGCTTGCCCCATTTCGCACTTAAACTGTAGTAACGGTCATGTACTTTAACGCTTTCCCCATTTCGAACTTAAACTGTAGTAACGGTCATGTACTTTAACGCTTGTCCCATTTCGAACTTAAACTGCAGCAACGTCATGTACTTTAACGCTTGCCCCATTTCGAACTTAAACTGTAGTAACGGTCATGTACTTTAACGCTTGCCCCATTTCGCATTTAAACTGTAGTAACGGTCATGTACTTTAACGCTTGCCCCATTTCGCACTTAAACTGCAGTAATGGTCATGTACTTTAACGCTTGCCCCATTTCGCATTTAAACTGTAGTAACGGTCATGTACTTTAATGCTTGCCCCATTTCGCACTTAAACTGTAGTAATGGTCATGTACTTTAACGCTTGCCCCATTTCGTACTTAAACTGTAGTAACGGTCATGTACTTTAAAGCTTGCCCCATTTCGCACTTAAACTGTAGTAACGTCATGTACTTTAACGCTTGTCCCATTTCGAACTTAAACTGTAGTAACGTCATGTACTTTAACGCTTGCCCCATTTCGCACTTAAACTGTAGTAACGGTCATGTACTTTAACGCTTTCCCCATTTCTCACTTAAACTGTAGTAACGGTTATGTACTTTAACGCTTTCCCCATTTCTCACTTAAACTGTAGTAACGGTCATGTACTTGAAACGCTTGTCCCATTTCGAACTTAAACTGTAGTCACGTCATGTACTTTAACGCTTGTCCAAATCACACTTAAACTGCAGTAACGTCATGTACTTTAACGCTTGCCCCATTTCGCACTTAAACTGTAGTAACGTTATGTACTTTAACGCTTGCCCCATTTCGCACTTAAAGTGTAGTAACGTCATGTACTTTAGGGGCGGTGGGGTAGCCTAATGGTTAAAGCGTTGGCTCGTCACGTCGAAGACCCGGGTTCGAATCCCCACATGGGTACAATGTGTGAAGCCCATTTCTGGTGTCCCCCGCCGTGATGTTGCTGAAATATTGCTAAAAGCGGCGTAAAACCAAACTCAGTCAGTCAGTCAGTCATGTACTTTAATGCTTGTCCAATTTCACACTTAAACTGCAGTAACGTCATGTACCTCGACGTTTCTCTCAGTTCAAACACAGATTATGTTTAGGGTCATGTACCTCGACGTTTCTCTCAGTTCAAACACAGACTATGTTTAGAGTCATGTACCTCGACGTTTCTCTCAGTTCAAACACAAGACTATGTTTAGAGTCATGTACCTCGACGTTTCTCTCAGTTCAAACACAGACTATGTTTAGAGTCATGTACCTCGACGTTTCTCTCAGTTCAAACACAGACTATGTTTAGGGTCATGTGCCTCGACGTTTCTCTCAGGTCAAACACAGACTATGTTTAGGGTCATGTACTTCGATGTTTCTCTCAGTTCAAACACAGACTGTGTTTAGAGTCATGTACCTCGACGTTTCTCTCAGTTCAAACACAGACTATGTTTAGACTCATGTACCTCGACGTTTCTCTCAGTTCAAACACAGACTATGTTTAGAGTCATGTACCTCGACGTTTCTCTCAGATCAAACACAGATTATGTTTAGGGTCATGTACCTCGACGTTTCTCTCAGTTCAAACACAGACTATGTTTAGAGTCATGTACCTCGGCGTTTCTCTCAGTTCAAACACACACTATGCTTTGAGTCATGTACCTCGACGTTTCTCTCAGTTCAAACACAGACTATGTTTAGGGTCATGTATCTCGACGTTTCTCTCAGTTCAAACACAGACTATGTTTAGGGTCAAGTACCTCGACGTTTCTCTCAGTTCAACACAGACTATATTTAGGGTCATGTACCTCGCCGTTTCTTTCAGTTCAACACAGCCTATGTTTAGTTTTATGTACCTCGACGTTTCTCTCAGTTCAAATCTAAGGTGTTACGCCATGTACATCGATTTGTTTTCCTTGTACAGCTCCTCCTGTGATTGTACTGAGACTCGCTTTCCTCGGACAACGTCTGTCTTCCATTTGAGGCTGGGGGAAATGATGACTGTGTCTAGCTGTGCACCAGCGGTAGGACACTGGCGAATGCTGGAACATGCTCTAATGTCCTTTTAGAAGAGGAAAACATAAAGTTTTGGGATTGCGTACAGGAATTTTAAGGATATTATTTCTCCATTCAAAGTATACACCTTCTAGCATGAGATGTTTAGCTTCTCAAACTCTCAGAAAAAAACAGCAACAAATATGTAAACTATGTGCATAAAACAAATGGAGGTAAGCTAATAGTTGTGCTCAGGCACAGAATACCACTGTAATTTGACAATGTTTAAAGTTTATTGTCTATGACAATATTGTTTCATCTAATACCTGCTGTAGGTTTGCATTATTCACTATGTAGGCAGGCAGTCAGACATGGGCGGCATAATATATCACTCTCGCCATCTTACCAATAACAGGTCAAACCTGTCAACAAGCCACACTCACATCCTAGCTCGACAAGACATAGCCACACACGTGCCCACCTTGTCATTAAGACATGAGCATACGTGTCCACCTTGTCATCACAACATAGCCACACACGTGCTCACCTTGTCATTACGACAGAGCCATACACGTGCCCACCTTGTCATTACGACAGCGCCACACACGTGCCCACCTTGTCATTACAACATTAGCACATACACTCACCTTGCCATAACGACATAAGCACACACACTCACCTTGTTATAACGACATAAGCACACACACTCACCTTGCCATAACGACATAAGCACAAACACACTAACCTTGTTATTAAGACGTCAGCTTACACACTCACCTTGTTATTAAAACATCAGCACACACACACACGCACTCCCCTTGCAATAACGACGTAAGCACACACACTCACCTTGTCATAACGACATAAGCACACAGGTGCCCACCTTGTCATTACAACATTAGCACACACACTCACCTTGCCATAACACCATAAGCACAAACACTCACCTTGTCATTATGACATAAGCAGACACACAGGTACTCACCTTGCCATAACGACATAAGCACACCCACCCACCTTGTCATTAAGACATTAGCACACCCACACGTACCCGTCTTGCCATAACGGCATAAGCACAC